GTGCCTCTGAGAACTGGCATGGCCAGCAGGGGTACCCCAGGGCCCTATCTGGAACGGAAGCCCAGGTGGGGCTGTTACTCTGCCCACGCGTGACACCTTATTCCTGGCAGCCCCTTGGCTCTTAGAGCCACATGCTCTCAGCATCCAAGAGAGCCCAACTTTGTGGCTGGCCTCCCTGTCCTCTGACACTGGCCAATACCTCCAGGGTCACATCTCACCAATGCCCTGAGGGCTCCCCCAAGGACTCCACGCTGGGCTGTCCACCTCTCCAGGGCCCTAGGCCACTGTGAGCCCACAGATGTCACTGTCAACACCAGCACAATGCCCCAGACCGCAGCCAGGGTCTCCAAAGGGGCAGTCACCTGGCTGGGTGGTGTTCAGCTTCCCTGAGCCTTGCTGTCCCCATGACCCACAGGTCAAGGAGGACCTCTTCAGGCCACCAGGTCCTCTAGGTCCTCAGCCACTGGACCTGAAACCACAGGTGCCTGTGTTCCCCCCCACTGTGGCCAGCCTCCTGGCACCACCCAGGGTGGTAATTACACATGCTCCACGTGGATGCTGAGCCTGATCTGCTCTCCTACCCCACTTCTTGCCCTGAGCCCTAGGGAGAAACAGGAGATCATGCTCTGTCCTGATGTGACAGCTCCAGCAGCTCGGCTACTTGGCAGGGACAAAGTGGACAGAAGTGACATGCTAGGATGCTAGCGCTGTGTCTCAGCCACCTCACACATTGGTAGGGTCCTGGCCATGGCACATGCGGCTGCCCAGCAGCCTGGAACTGGGTCCCTTGGGGCTTCTGGATCTCTCTCTCTCTCTCTCTCTCTCTCTCTCTCTCCTCCGCCCTCCATCAGCGAAGACACAGGTGGCTGCCCTTCCCCTCAGGGAACCAGCACCAGCTGAGGTCCTCAGCAAGGAGCCTCTGGCCCAGTCACTGTCAACATGTTGGGCAATGCCATGGGCCAGCAAGAGCTGGCATCTAGGGCGGCTGGCACATCCACAGGCCTCCAGACCCCACTGCCCCACGCAGAACGGGCCAGAGTGAGTACACGAAGGATTCTTGAACACGTCCCCCTGTGGCAGCTCCAGATGACAGAGCCAACTTCTGCAGAAGGCCTCTCCAGGGACTCCAGTCTAGGGAGCCAGCCCGGCCCTGCCTCCACCCCCCGGAAACGTTCTAAACCCACCAGCACCTAGTATGAGCCTCATGTCCTGTCCACAGCAGAACAAGATTTTAGGTGAGCATGTGGGTGGCCTCATCCACACACAGCTCCCCCCCCCACACACACATACATCAGGAGCCCTGACCCTGTCCCGTCCAGCTCTCCTCCTGGGACATGTGAGCACAGAGCCACATACACACTCAGGTCTGGCCACTACCCGCCCAGCAGCTCCCTGCGTCTGCAGGGCTCCAGACACTCTCAGGCAGACTGTCCCAGGGCTCAAAACCTGGGGCTCATCAGAGAGAACAGAAGCACTGGCACTCTGAAGGCAGGCAGCCCTCAGGGAGCGGCCTGCAAACCCCTGCCTCCCCTGGAAGCCTAGCGAGAAAGCTCGGGGAAAGAACTCAGGCCCAGTCACTAGCCTTTCGTGGGAAAAAGAAGTCACAATGACAAAGCCCAACCTCAGCCACCCCACGACCTTCCTGGGTGACTCCACGTGTTACTCAGATGTAGACGTGTGGACAAGCTAGCTGGTGGACAGACCTGCATGCCCGGAAGCTGTGGCGTAGCTGGATGGGCAGACACAGGTCACACCCACGGACCAGACCCCAGACAGAAACACAGCTCCAAGGGGGTACTCCCCGCCTCTGTACCCCTCTCACTCACCTCTGTCTTCCTGAGCTGCTGCAAACTCTCCCTGCCAAAGGCAGACCCTGGAGCTCCCTCCAGTTCCCCAGGACAGGAAACCACCCTCTTGCTGGCCAGAGCTATGCTGTACCTCAAGCCCTGAGAACCTTTCCCACAGGGCCTGGGCCACTTCCTGCTGCCTTGCAGGCACTGCTCCCTAATATGGGCCTGGAGGGCTGGCCAAGACCTCCGGCCAGGCACATACCCTGGCAGGATGCCAGCCCCAGATCTTTGCACCCTCTGCCATCAGGGTGCATAGGGTGCCACACCAGCCCTCTTTGGGGAGGGGCAGGGCTGCGGGGAATGGGCAGTTTTGGGAAAGGCCAGAGGGCTTGGACCAGAAGGCTAGCACTGGTTAGCTCTGGGGCAGGACAGGGCCTCCCCAGGCCCCTGCACCTTCCATAACAGCTGTCACCTGCTGGGCAGTGACATCTACTCCTGGGGAAAGAAGAAAATAAGGACTATATCCAGTGATCTTACAGGGTGGCTGGGGCCTGGGATCCCACATCCCAGGGATAGACCTAGGGTCCAGACACCAAAATAGAGATTCCTGTAGCCCAGAGAGCCAGAAGCCCTCCCCAGGACCCTCCATGCTGAATCTTACAGCCTGGGGGCTGGCCGCCAGCAGCAGGCAGGGCTATCCCACCACCCCCACCTCTGCCTAGAACCACAGCACTGTTACTGATACCAAGCAGCACCTTTCAAAACAGAATCCCACCCAAGGTCCAGAGATGGAGCAAAGCCAGGCCCCTGGACTCCAGAGCTGCCCCTGCTGTGAAGCCTGGTACAGGAAGCTGCCCCACAGAAGCTCCCCGACCCAGGCCCTCATTCCCCCCAGAAAGCTCTTCCTTCTCCCAGCTGCAGCCTGTCTCCCTAACCCAGCAGCCTTGTTGCAGCAGCTCCCACTCCAACCCAGCCCCACCTTCCTTGGGCGGCGCAGGGATGGTCCTTACCCAGCCTGACCTTCCCTAGGGGGCCCTCACCCAGCCTCCCTTTTCCCGGAGGTGGATCTTCACCCAGCCTCACCTTCTCTGGGCCCTCCCCATCCAGCCCAACCTACCATCCAGCCTGACTTTCCCCCAGGGGCTTCCCATCCAACCTAGCCTGCCACTCAGCATGACCTTTTCTGGAACCTCCCCATTCAGGCTGACCTACCACCCAGCATGACTTTCCTTTGGTTGGGACAGCAACCCATCAAGTCAGCTAAGACTCTGCCTTCCCCAGGCCTTGCCAAAGTGATGTGCCCTCTGGGCCAGTCGCCTGGCTGGACAGGAAAACGACATCCTGGGACAGGTAGCCTGGGTGAAAAGTGGCCAACCATGGCTGGCTCCCAAGCCACCTAGAAGCCATATCAGCTGGTCCTCTTCTCACCCCCTTGGGCAAACGGGGACCACTCCTCCCCCCTCCCAGAAAAAGGATAATACTCCTGATTAAAAAGCCAGGACTCCTGCCCTTTGCGTAATTGCACACCTGCCTCCCACAGCCCATCTGGGTCGGTCCTGGGAAGTGCGGCCCTTGAACACCTGCTTCCATGTGGAGTATCGTGCCACTCCCCCACCCCCGGTTTGGTTCGGTCGAGGCCCGCGCAGCCCCAGCCCCCCAGGGCAGCACCTCCTGGCGCCTGGGAGATGCTCAGGCACCTGTGCGCGCCCGCGTGGTACAGACGCCAGCCCCGCCCTCCCTACCCCCTCCCCTCACCTCCCCACTCCCCACCTCTCCCTCCAGGCGCCGGGTCCTATGTCCCCGCGGTATGTGGCGGCGGGCGTGGAGGTGGACCTGGGCTGCGGGGGCCCCAGGGTGAAGGGGGTTCTGGGGTGCGAGGGTCCTGGGGTCCCTCCGCCTGGGGAGGGGCGCACCGGCTGTACCTGGGGCCGCATCGGCCGTCGTCGAACTCGAAGGTCCGGTTGGTGTGGCCCCTGCCGCGCGCCCCAGGCCGCGACCCCCTGGATGAGTCTCCCGGGCTGCGCGCCCCGTCGGGGAGCGGCATGCGCGGCGGGGGCGGCTCGAATCTGGAACCGAGGGAGAAGCTTCTGCGCTTTGCTGCTTTCCCCCCCGAAACACTGCACTTTTCTCTCCCGAAACAGGAAAAAAACGGCTGTTCAGGGTCGGGGCTCGGGCGCCGGGCAGGGCGCGCCCCCTGCCTGCCGCGCGGCGAACGGCGGCGGCGTAGGGCCGGGCGGAGGACGGGGCGGGTCCCGGTGGCGCTCGCGCAGGACCCCTCGCCCCTGCTGGGGGGCCTCAGTCCTCCGAGCAGACGCCGCCCACCCGTCCCTGGAGGTCAGCCCCAGGAGGGCACGGGCACCTATAACGGCCCGAGACCCGCGCGACCCTGGGGAGCGAGCTGAGAGGGTGGCGAGAATCGGGGGGCCCAGGGCAGGCGGCGGGCACGGCGCGGGCAGGGAAGCCGGTGTGCAGAGGCGCAGGGGGAGCTGTGGGCATGCCCCTGGCTCCTGGATGGAGCGCGGGGGAGAGGACATGCTTCCGGGGCCAGGTGCAGGTGCGCTGCAGATGCTGGCCCCAGGGGCAGGTGGGCGTCCTCCACAGACCTGGGTCAGGGAAGGTCTCGGCCCGCCTTCCCGCTCTCCTCTGGGACCCCCGCTCAGGGTTCCTGGCCAAACAATGTTCCAGAAACTCCCATCTAATCCTTTCCCACAGCTCAGGGAACACCTAACTGCTCCGCCAAGGGAGTCCTACTTGTGGCCTGACACCTGGCCCGCGTGCCCGCGCAGGGAGGAGCCTGGGCTCCTATGTGTGCTGCTTGTGGGTTCCAGAAAACCGCCACTCTCCTCTCCCGCTCGTTCCCTTCCCTAAGTTAACCTTTAGGACCTTTATTTTGTCCCCCCTCCCTAGGGGGCGGCGCCTAGGGAGACCACACCTAGGGGAGCGTCGACCCCCAAGAAGGGGACCCCCGGGAAGAGGAGGGAGGAGCACCCAGGCGGAGCCTGAGGTCGTGGCTGCTTCATAGCAACTTATCCAGGGAGACACCTGAGCTCCCCCCCCCGCCCCCCCGGCCGGTGGGGGCGGGGCGGAGCACGTGCTGGGCGGGGCGGGGCACATGTGCGGGGCGGAGCCAGCGGCAGAGATGCGTGCGCAGGCGCGTGGGGCGGCACGTGGGGCGGCACGTGGAGGTCCTGGGCGTGCGCTTGCGTTTCTGCAGCTGCGCCCATGGCGTTCCGGAGCTCTGAGGCTGGCGTTGTGGGGTGCAGGTGAGCGCCTGGGGTGCCGGGTCAGGTGGAAGGCCTCTGCCTGGGGTGTGTGTGTGGGTCCCCAGTCCGAACAGAGCGAGCCGCAGGTCCTCAGCCGGCATGACCCTTTGGGGTAGGGCGCCTGCAGCAGGGCCTTTGGGGGAGGGCGGGCCCCGCAGGACCAGGTCCAGCACCCCGCCCCGGGGCCCCTCGCCCCGGGGCCCCTCAGAGACGTCCATGGGGACCCCGGGGGCCCAGCTTGTTTCCCGAGTTGACAGAGCGCGTTGCTCTGTCTCTGCTGGCAGCGGGCCTTCCCCGCCCAGCGCCCGGGGCTGCAGCGAGGAGCGAGGCCAGGGCTCCGGCCGGGTCAAGGCGGCCCCCGAGCGGCCAGGCCCTGGCCTCCCGCGGAATGTGCTCAGCGAGAGGGAGCGCAGGTGGGTGGCCCTGGAGGCCCGAGGGCATCTCTGGCTTGCAGGGGAGCTGCTGGGGGGCGGGGGGGGGCCTGAGGCTATCAGATGGAGGCTGGGACCGGGGGCTGTAGGCAGCTGGGGCAGGGGGCGAGGTTGCCCTGTGGCCAGGGGACAATTAGTTCCTCCTGGGCTGAGCCAGAACGCCCACCTCTGTAGCCCTCCTGACCAGCTGAAGGTTGTGCCTTTGGGGTCTCTAGTGGGGTGGGGTGGGGGCATCCAGGGCAGGGCTGGCCACTGTTGCACAAGTGTAAGGGTAACCTGTGGCGGGTGACCCTGAAGGGCTCCTTTTGTTTGGAGAGCTAACTAGCAGGTTTGTTCTACTTGAGGAGGCCCTGGGGGCGGCTCTGAGGGGTGTTCTGGTGGCTGGGGTCCTCCCCCCTGGCCCAGGCCATGTGGACTGACCGACATGGCTGTTTGCAAGCAGGAAGCGCATCTCCGTGAGCTGTGAGCGCCTGCGGGCTCTGCTGCCCCGGTTTGATGGCCGGCGGGAGGACATGGCCTCGGTCCTGGAGATGTCTGTGCAGTTCCTGCGGCTCGTGGGCACCCTGCTGCCGGGCCAGGAGCAGCACACCGTGAGTGGTGTTTGGTCTGCGGGTCCCTTCTCTACTGGGGGGCAGCTCACCCCCTGAGGGGCAGCCCTGACTTCCCTGCAGTCCTGAGGTCCTGGTCTCCGCTCTGCCTGCGGTGCTGTCAGGGGAACTGTGATCTTGGCTGGCATTCCTCCATTTGTGGTGGTCCCCCTGTCAGCAGGTGGCCTCCCCAAGTGAGGCAGGAGCCCTGGAAAACAAGTCTGGTCTCCATGTCAGTCCCTTACAGCCCTGTTGTCCGTGCTCTGCTGTTCTAGCCCAGGATCTGCACTTGAGCTGAGCCCCTGCCACCCCAGCAGGGCAGCGGGTGACAGACCACAGCTCACCCTGCTCTTCTCAGGTGTCAGATGATTAAGCATCATGACCTGTTACCCATTACGCTTGTTTTCGTTTTTAGGTTTTTGCTTCTTCCAAGGAGCCGTGGCACAAGTGGCAGAAGGACGTCACACAACTGGCTGTGTTGGGTCCGGCTGCAGCAGTGGCACCAGACTGTGGCTTGGGAGCGTGTGGCCTGACCATGTTAGTGTTCCTTGTGTGGCTGGGCCCCCTTGAGGACTGCAGACACAGACCCTTCAGGGCTCCCCATCTGTCTTTGTGTCACCTAGGCCACAGGCTTCTCCAAACTGTGCCACTGCAGGAGTGGGTGAAGCCCCATTGGGGGTGACTGAGGTGCTGGATGGGCCACCAGCCCTCCCTGGTAAGCAAGAGTGGGTACCGGTGCCTGTGAGGTTGGTGTCCTTGCCAGAGGGGAGACAGACAGGTGCTGTAGGACGGCCCTGGGTCTGACCCTGGGAGTGGCAGAGTGTGTTCCCGAATGGGGGTGGAACCCGTACTGTTGGTGTTCTCATCGTGACAAACCTGTGTGTTGGGGTGTAGTTCAGGGACCCTGCGCTGCCCTCAACTGTGGTGAAAACAGGTTAATGGGAGCTATGGGGGGCAGGGGTGCAGGCTGAGCTGCCTTGGCTTCTCTGCTGCAGGTGGTGGGTGGTTCTTGGGGCATCCTTGTCCCATTCTCTGCTGGGGAGCAGGGTCCAAGCTGCTGCTCCCCCAGAACGACTCCTCGGCTCTCCTTCACCTTGGACCTCTAGGGGTCCCTGGGTCCTGCAGGAAGCACGTCCCGTCCTCCTTGTCCCTGTTGTGCTCACTGTCCTGAGCAGCCCCCGCCTGGCCTGCCCTTCTCAGGCGCCCTCCTGCTCCTTTGTCCTGTAATTGAGTGAGTCACAGACTCTGCACAGGGAGGGCTTTTGTTCTCTGGTACTGTGCCAGCCAAGTCCGCGGGGCACCTCTGATGGTTGTACCTCCCTTGTGTCAGACCCCGGATCCTAGCTATTTGTCACACCATGGGCACGACTGGCCGTGCTGGCATTCGGGCCTCATGCATGTGACTGCCTCTGCCGCAGTGTCTGAGCACCACAGGAACCAAGGATGTGCCTGCTGATTGCCTGAATGTGCCCATGGAGGAGCAGCGGGGGCTTGCTGTCCCCAGGGCTGGCGGCGGAGCTGGGGCCTCCAGGGACCTTTGGCAGCCACGGGCAGGGCAGGAGAGTGCAGAGGTCATGTGGCAGGGAGTTAGGTCTGAGGGTGGAGGCTGGGGTAGGGACGAGGGCAGATGGGTAGAGTCCCGGATCCGAGCTCCAGGGGCTGACTGAGGCCAGGTGGGTATCTGCTTCAAGAAGCCTGACTGGCCCTGGGCGTTCGTGTCCAGGTCATCTGTCTGTGTGCTGCTCCTGAGCTCTCTCATCCCTGCTCCGGGCACCACATGGGTGTGGGGGTCTCCAGAGGAGGGCTGCTCCCCACGTGGGGAAGGCTCCCCTGCATCTCACTTCTGTCGTAGAGCCCTGCAGCCTGCTTTCCCAGCCCCCAGGCCCAAGTCCCTCCAAGGTCCTGAGGCCGCCCCCACCCTGGCCTGCCCACTCCTGGCAGCCATCCTCCCCCCTGGTGAGCGAAGAGGCTCAGAGCTGCCTGTGCCAGGCTGGGGGGCCCTCGGCAGAAGGGGCCAATTCCATCATGACGCTGGACCCCAGGTGGGTGCCCTGGTGGACGTGTGCAGCAGCCCCGCACCCACACCCCCCGGGAAGTCTGCACCCCTCCCTCACCATCTGTGCCTGGGCCGCAGCTGCCAGCCCAGGCCGGTTCGAGCCAGACGCTGCCGTGTGGTTTTCTGACGCGTTTCTGAAAACGTTGTCGTGTTCTAGGCGGTCTGTGTTTCGGCTGGTAGTAAACGAGTTTGTGTTTTGTGAGCACGCACCAGCTGGGCCGTGGGAAGGGAGCGTGGCAGAGGTTGGAGGGAAACCAACAGAGGCAGCGTGGTGGGCCAGTCTGTCCTTGGCGGGAGGGCTCAGGGTCTGGGGGGTGGGGCACCCTGTTTGTTCATCCTGCACCTGAAGCCACCCTTGAGGGCCCGTACCTTCCTCCTGTGGTTTGAGGAGCGGGGTCACCTGGGATCACCAAGGGTGAAGTTCTCTGCTCCCATCCAGGCCTGCAGCGGGATGTGATGTGGAAGACGGGATGTCCTTCTTGCTGAACGCCAGTCCTGACTGGTGGCTGGGTGAGCGGGGAGACGTGAGCATTTTTCTTTGCTGTGGGACACTGAGATCTGGTGTCTGTGTCTGAGCTGATTTCTTCTGCTGGTGGTTGTCATCGGGGTGGGGGTGCAAGGTGATCTGTGTGCATGAGGAGCCACGTGTGAGCCTAGTGCGTGGAGCTGCTTATGTGTCTCCTGCTGTTCCAGGGCAGTGGGGAGTGGTGGTGGGGCCTGTGGTATTTCTTTAAACATCCCCTTGAGGACATCGGATCCGTGATGAGTGGAATGAGATTTAAAATTGTGGGCAGTGGTTTTCTGTTGTGGTTGGATGGACCCTCCTGGGTCTCCAGCAGGGCCACAGGTGTGGGCTCGCCTGCCTGTCATGGCCCTCAGGAGCCAAGTCGGACAGGACAGACAGACAGAGGTGGGCCTCCTGCACCTTGACCCCGCTGTGCCTGGCCTAGGTACCCAGGCTGACATGTTGCATCTGCTTCCAGGGTCTCTGGAGGGCAGAGGCGCCGGTGTCCCTTCTCGGAGCACAGCCAGGAGCAGTCTGCTGGACAGGGCAGAGCCCAGCTTCCTGACAGACCCCGAGCCCGGCTCCCAGGAGCTCCTGGGCGGCCCCCTGGAGCCGTGGGGCTCGGACGTGGGCTGCCCCAGCCTGGCCCTGCGGGAGGAGGTGGACAGCATCTTCCCTGACTTCTTTCCCTGCTAGGCCGGGGGTGCGGGGGACTGGGCCTGTGTTGCACATGTGTGTCACACACCCTGATGGCTTATTTTGGGTTCGGGTGGCAGCTGTGCCCTGCTCCCACGTGGCTGGCGGGGCAACGGTGGTGGAGACTGAGATTAAAGGCAGGCTGGTGCTCCTGCAGAAAGCAGAACTTCCGGAGCTTCTGTGTAATCAGTGCAATTCACTGGGCAGATGGCGCAGCTTCCGCTCAGAGTGCAGGCACTTGCCTGGGGCTTTGTCTCTGTGATGTTTTTGGCCTTGGGTGTCCCTAAATAGCTCCTCAGTCTGGGGAGGGCTCTGGGGCCGAGAGTTTTGGGTTCCTGGCCTGCTCCTCAGAGAGGCCAGCAGGGGACCCCACCTCTCCCGTGCCTAAGGCTGGTCTGAGCTGTGTAGCCCGCGAGGCCCAGGAGTCTGCCCCGGATGGCCCTGGTGTCCTGCTGCAGCCGGGGAAGGGTGGGCCTCTGCCTTTGAGATGGGGTCCTCTGCACTTGTCACTCGGGGCGAGGGGAGGGGGCCTGTGGCAGAGTTCACCTGGCATCCGCATCTGGAGTCTTCTCCTGGAGGGCACAGCCCAGTCCTAGCTGCTCCTGACTACTGGGATCTGGGGAAGGCCTGGGTTACTGGGAGGAGCATGCCAAGCCCCTGAGGTTGAGCGGGGCTGACCCTGCCCTGCATCCTACCATCTCTCAGCTAAGACCCAGGCTGGCCAGGGCCTCACTACTCTGCTCCTGCTTGTTCCCTCCCAGAGATGCTGGGCTCCAGGCCTCCAGTGACCCTCCAGGCCAGCGAGTGCCTCAGGGTCCAGAGGGCTCTCTGCCCTCTAGGAGAGTAGGTTCTCCTGACTGTGAGTCCTGAGTCTCCTGCCCAGGCTGCCTGTCCCACACCTGAATGCATTTATATTCCTGCAGCCAGAAAGTTCCATTCATTCTATGAGTCATTGCAAACAAAGGTGAGGAGCAGCTGGCGTGGGCTGGAAGCACTGGCAGAGTGAGCCCTTCATGGAGCCTGGCAGGGGCTAGGGGGAGGGACCCTGGGGGTGGCCAGGTGCCCGTGGGGGCAGCGATCACCCCCGGACCATAGTCCTCAGGACCCTCGTGGTCCTCGTGTGCGTGCATTGCGGGTATCAGCACTGGCGTGTGCACGTTTATGTCTGTGTGTGCTTCTCAAGCGTAGGCCGTGCCTCCTTTTGGTGGGGTGGGATGCTCGGGCGCCCTACTGTCAGCCCAGCACCCTGGGCACAGCTGTGTCAGGGCTGAAGCAAACGCCTGGGTACTGCTGCTGTGAGGTTCAGGCTCACTGAGCCAGGAGGGAGACCCGTGGTGGGACTGTGAGCCCCACCCGGGAGCAGGTGCATGGCTCTGTGGAAAGGCAGCTGATTTTGGCTAGGCTGACCTAGAACAGTCTTGCTTTTGGCCCCCTACGCCCACGCTGATCTCAGGTCAGCACCCAGGGAGGGGAGATCAGGAGTCCCAGCTGAAGCCCCAGGCCCTGCCTTGGAAAGGGAGGGATGAGGCCCTGTCTCAGGCGCCTGGCCTGCCTCACCTTGAGCCGGTGGAGGCAGGGGATGGGGGGCACCTGTAGGCAGAGTCAAGGGTGATCCCAGCCTGGTGGGAGGGGCGGTGCCTGGAGCCAGCATTCACCCCCACCCTGCAGGCCGTGGGAGGGTGGGTGCAGTGACGCACAGGATGGGTGGCTGTAGGAGAGGGGCTGCTGCAGGTCCTGCTGGGGGCTTGGCTCGCGCTGGAAGGAGCCGCGGAGTCAGGGAACAGCCGGCTCCCCCTTGTCTTCAGCAGCTCCTGTGAACCCGAATTCAGCTCTTGGTGGTGGTGATCGTGACCCCACATGCTCCAGGGTGGGTTTAGAAAGCCATGATGACTTCCGGCGTGTTCTGGGGGTTTGGCAGTGGATGGGGGGCTATAGCACAACTCCCTCCAGCTCCAGAGGTGACCCATGTCTGTCCCCACAGCCCCCACCAGGAGGGCCTATTTGCCTGGAAACAGGACACAGAAGGGACGCGGACGCGGCCTGCAGGACCCGACACCCTCAGGCCACACTGTCTATCAGGCCCATGTGCCCCTCGGCCTGGGACATCTTGGAGGGACTGTGCCCCTGGCTGGGCCTTGCTGACAGCTGGTTGTTGGGCTGGGAGCTGTTTGTTGCCCTCCTGGTGCCCTGCACCCCCACCTGCTGGCTTCCTCTCCGCTCCTGCCTCCCCACTGCTCCTCTTGCTCCTTGGATCTCACGGCCACCGTGGGTCACCGGGAGTTGACATCTGGGTTAAGGTGTTCAGTGCTGCTCAGTGACTTCATTAGTCCTCTGACCATGTGATCCCTGTCCTGGGACACAGGGTATCCAGGCTAGGCACTCTGCTGCTGGGGAGGAGGTGTTATCCCAAGGCCCTTCCTCTGTCTCTAGGTCTGACCTCTTGGTGGGACAGCTGTGTCCTCCAGCTCCGTCCCAGGTGGCTGGCAAGTGAGAGGAAGTCCTGTGACCCTCGCTGGACTGACCAGGCCTCGGTGTGCCCCCGCAGTACAGACCTGAGGGAGCCAGAAACCTTAGTGTGGCTCCAACGCCAGTCTCAGTGACTGACAGCAAGGACACAAAGCAGACCCAGCTGCCCCCAGCCCATCACCTGGCACAGTGGGGTGCTCATGGCAGAAGGGGGCCCCCAGGCCTGCTCATGGCCAAGGCAGCGGTTTTGAGGTCCCATGCTCCCTTGCTGAGAGGGTAGTAGGACAGGTTCCTTCACCTTCACTGCCCCTACTTCCCCTGGCGCCTGTGGGGCATTTGAGTTGTGGGGGCAGGATGCCCCCTGGAGGGTAGCAGGTGGCAGGGCTGAGGGCTCCCGGATGAAAGCAGCTTGGTTGGCACGAGGAGGAGCGAGGAGACTGGGCACCCCAGACTGTGACCCAGTGTCATAGGGTGGGCATGGGGTTGGCGCTGCCCCAGGTTGAGAGCTGGTGGGACAGAGGTGGGATGTGGGAGTGCTGAGGGGTCTGGGGAGCCAGGAGAGGGAACTCATGTTGCCCCTGGAGAGGAGGCAGCCAGAGAGGGGCTGCTGAACTGCAGGTGACCTGAGACCCTGGGGCCACTGAGACCAACAGCCACCCTGAGCGGGGGGCTGGGGGTTGGTAGGGGTGGGGGTGCGGGGGCAGCTCCACTGTTGGGTGTTGCTTGAAGAAATGAGCTGGGAGGGCTCTTGGGAGGTACAGGTGGGGAGGGGGGCATCTGCCAGGGGAGCTGGGGTGAGCACCTGAGGGGTAGGAGCAAGCCCCTGGGTGCTGGGGGTGGCCTGGGGGGTGGGTCCTAGGGCCTGGGTCCTAGGATCCTGACTGCAGGGGTGGGAGGCCCCCCCTTCTGACGGGGACAGCGCAGCCACCTTCCCTGCATTCATGGCTGATGCCTGCTACACGGTATGGCTTGCCCTGAGAGATGCCCTTGAGGGACCTTTGGCCACTGGTGGGAGCCCCCTGGTCTGGGACAGGGGTGGGCTTGGTGGGTCGCTCAGTGGTGGTCCTGAGGGATGACAGTCTTGTGCACTGGGATGGGGAGCCTCCATGCAGCTGGGCACCGGTGGAGGGGAGCCTGGGGGTTAGGTGTGCCTCAGAGGGGGCCACAGACAGGCATCTGCCGGACCTGCCAGCCTCATGACTGTCCCTGCCCCCATGGCCTCAGCCACCACCACTCAGCAGGGATGCAAGTGTGTGGCCAGAAGGGGCTCCTAGGCCAGGTCCAGTTCAGAAGCAAAGGACCAGCCTAGACTGGCTCTGCTGCTGCCTCTGCGCCTGTGAGACCTGCTTCTGGACCCACTGGCTGGCGAGCCCTGGACTGTGGGGACCAGGTGGCCCTGGGGCCTGGCCTCGCTGCCTGCCTGTGTGGTGTGTGGTCATCACTTGGGACAGCACCCTGGGGAATACCTGGCAGCTCCTCCCACAGTGTGGACCCATATCCACAGTGGGCTGGCTCAGCCCCATCTCTCTGACGTCCTGGCCCATGTGGTCAGCACCCAGAGCACCCCCACAGAGCACACTCAGTCTAGGGGGGCAATCACCAGGAGAGGCCTCCAGGGACGGGGGCTTCTGGGGGGATGGGAGCGGTTGAGCTGCCTCCTGGGTCCACTCAACTTTGGTCCATTGTCAGAGCAGAGTGTCCTGGATGCTCCTGTGAGTGGAGAGGGGCAGGGGCTCAGGGGGACAGCACCCTGGGGAATACCTGGCAGCTCCTCCCACAGTGTGGACCCATATCCACAGTGGGCTGGCTCAGCCCCATCTCTCTGACGTCCTGGCCCATGTGGTCAGCACCCAGAGCACCCCCACAGAGCACACTCAGTCTAGGGGGGCAATCACCAGGAGAGGCCTCCAGGGACGGGGGCTTCTGGGGGGATGGGAGCGGTTGAGCTGCCTCCTGGGTCCACTCAACTTTGGTCCATTGTCAGAGCAGAGTGTCCTGGATGCTTCTGTGAGTGGAGAGGGGCAGGGGCTCACACATGGGATAGATCCTGCAATGCCCTGGGCCCTGCCCCTTGGCTAGGGACTGGGGAGGTGTGTCGGTGAGCAGGACCCGACCCCCCATCTGCTCTGCCACACCCCTCCTCCAGGTGGACACCCATCTGTGTTCAGGGGACCCTGTGGACACCCCTACCTTGGGTCACACGCAGCAGAACCAGCAGCTTGAATCTCTCTGCCCTGTCAGACACCGCTGCCCACCGTGGCTGGCATGATGGGGTGCTCAGCACCAGTGGAGCACCGTGTGCTCCTTACCACCCTGGCCTCGAAGGGCCCCCCTGCAGGGTCAGAGGTCACTCACCTGGACCCAGCGGCCTACCTATTCTCGGTCACACAGGTGCGATATGTGAGGAGGGATGCTGGTGGTTGAGTGGAGGTGTGAGCTGTGCCCTCTGGCCCCAGGGCTGGAGTGAGGGGCCCACCCGTTCCGGTCAGGCTGATGGTGTTGGCCGGGCTGATCCTGTGGCTTTTGCAGTAATTTTTAAACCTCTGCATGACATCAAAGCTCACAGGAGGGGTCCAGCCTACAGGCAGAGCAATGCAGGCTGTCCCTCCAGCAGGTCATTTGGGACAATGGGCAGGGGGGTTCTGGGAGCTTGGAGACGGCTCTGGATTTTCAGGGTGCAGGCAGGCCGTGGGGGAAGGAGCTGCCGTGATCAGAGTGGAGGGGTGCCCGAGAGGGTCCCATGCCAGGCTGCAGAGGAGGAGGGGGCCCCACAGAGCTACACGGGGCCCTCAGGTGGGGTCCGGCCTTTGCTGTTCTGGGTAGGATTTCTTTGTTCACCCCACGTCTGGAGGGAGGGACAGCCGGTGTCTGAGGAACACCTATGGGGGTCTCGTTCTTGGGCTTGTGTAAAGGCAAATGCTTGAGGGGTACCTGGGGAACATAAATGAAGGTGCACCCAAGCCACGAGCCCTGTGACCCTGGCCGGGAACCCACTACCCACAAAGCAGAAGCAAGTAGCTTTGGGCCAAGAGTTCCTGCGCATTGGGGGCAGCTGTGGTACCTGACTGCCTGGCTGGCCGGCCGCCCCTTGCTCCCTGAGCATCACTCTGCCCCCAGTTAGCGAGCCTGTGCCCCCAGGCCATCCCCGTACTCTAAGAGCCAGAACTTTTGGCCTGCGTGCAGCCGATGGCTTCTAGCTGTTGGGACCTTGTAGGCCAGTGCAGGCTACTCCACCAGCCCTGAAGCCTGGGGGCCCAGCCCAGGGCTGTCTACTAAATCAGATCACCCTAACACTTGGTGCATGGCCGGATTGGGTCTCCTGAAAGGTGCAGTCAAGTCCCTGTCCCCAAAACTTGGGAACAGGACCTAGTTTGGAAGCAGGATCTTTGCAGGTGTGGAAAGTGTCTGAGGATAAGGTGGTTCAGAATGGACCCAAAAACCGGTGACAATGGTTCTTTTAAGGGGAAGGAAGGGAGGTTTGAGAACAGAGGAGAATCCTGCTGGGGACATAGGCAGGGCTTCGAGTGACACACAGTTCAGGATGTTGGGGGTCCAGGAGCTGGAAGGGGCAGGGGAGTCTCCTCAGAGGTTCAGGGACGCTGGGCCCCTGCCTATGACACACTGGTTCTGACCTTCATCTCTGCAAACTCTGACCAGCCCTTGACCCTGGGCTCCTGTGAGGCCACCAACCTGGGTCCTTGATGCAAACATCTCTTGGAGCTACTGTGCCCTAACCCTGCCACTCCACAGAGGGAGCCTACTTCTTACCCAGGGCTCTGTGGTCTCTGAGGCCAGCAGGGGAGTGTCACAGGTGGCGCACAGACCCTGTCTGTTACTTGCTTTTCTTATTTGTGCAAGACGGTGGCCCTGGTGGTCTCAGGGGAGCCGACACCTCTACAGCATGGGACCTGCTGGCTAGACCGCCAGGCCTTTGCTTGGGTGGGAGTACCACCCCTTTGCTCAAGCAGGAGTTTTCTTAAGACTGTCCTTGCCATCCTTGATGCTACAGGAGGCGCAGAGATCAGGGGGCTTACCCGAGCTACTGGCATGTGGGCAGGTCTCCCTTGTGGTCAAACACCTCATTACCTTCCTGGCCCTCGTGGCCCTGCGGCAGTCGGCAGTCGAGGTCCCTCCTGTCTCCTGCCGGCGGGGGGCAGGGGCACTTACTGAGGGCGTTCACCACCCTCTTCTTCCCATGCCAGTTGCTGTGAGCACAGAAGATGGCGAAGCGATGGGGGCCCATGTCCTTTAGGAAGATCATGTTGTGGCTGGCATCTGTGGACCTGGGGGGTGGGGTGGGAGGCCTGCTGTCCCTTCACAGTCTTAGACACCTTGGTGTCTTGCCTGAGTGGTCAGGCCCCAGGAAGCGGCAGGACTGGGTGTGGGCTCCCCACCCCCTGCAGACACGCACTGCTGGGGGTTCCCCAGGGGAGCTGAAGCCAGCTGGGAACACTCCTACAAGGCCACGTGTTGTCCCAACTCCCAGGGGCTCCCTGCCTGCAGGCTGCATGATGCTGACTGCTTGTACTCAGTTTCAGCATATACTGAAATTTCCTTCTGTCTTACTTGCCGTTACTATGATTGGGACACACATGCCCTTTATCCTGGGAGAGGGTGACAAGATCCCTTGGGACCCAGGCCCCGGAGGAGGTGCTGTTGCCCGTGGAGCCCTTCAGTGGGACTGGGTGGGTCTTGGCCACGCTGAATGTCAGACATGTGTCCCGTCCCCAGACAGCAAGCCCCAGCCCTGCCCTGTGTCACTAGGTCCCCCGTGCCCTCTGGTGTCTGGGAGGTGGAGGCCAACCAGGGAGGGGGCCCAGGGTTCTCCTGCACCATGGCCCCGTCTGCATCCTCTTCCCAGATGTTCCTTCTGTGGATGTGGAACTCTATGGTCTGGAGGATTACATGGATTTTGTGGATGAAGAACATCATGTCCGAGTCCTCCTGTAGGAGCTCCAGGTCATCGGAAGCCTGTGCTGTCGAGAACCAGTTGCCGTTGACCTGCTGAGTGGAGGTGGTTGTGCTGGTGCAGGAGAGGGAGCAGTGGGGCTGGTGGGTGCCCTGCCCTGATCCCCTCCTGCTGCCCCCAGCTGCCACCTCCTCCCACCCATGCCTGTGGCTGGCTACCAGATTCTCAATGAAGTTGAAGTTCTGGGGGCCCTTGTACAGGGCCTGGGGGCCACTGAGCAGAGTTAGTATTGGCACCAGCAATGTGATCATGGTGAGGCAGAGCTGCCAGGGGGGTGACTGACGGCACTTCACGAAGGTGTCTGGAACCTGTGGCAGCTGCCCTTTCGTCCCCTACTGGGAGGGGGCTCCTGCCACATGGCTGGCCATCAGACACCAGAGCTTCCCTCCCACTTGCCACAGTGACCCTCTATTTGTTGACACTACTGCCAACAATGGCCACTTGGCCATTTATCCCCCAGGCCCCTGCCTGGTCTGTGCTGGCGGTCAGGCTGTTTCCCAGAACAGCTGTGCCCCTGGGCTGCTTCCAAGACCCGCCTGTGTCCCCTAGTGCTGGCCTTGAGTCATGGAGCTCCTCCTGACGTGGCAGCCTAGGGGGGCTGTGACATCTCCTTGTGACAGCCACCAATAGATTTGAGTGGCTTGGTCGTGCTGAGTCCCCATGCTGCCTCTGCCTCCCTGTGGTCTGTTCTCAGGACAGTGGTGCCACCTGGGTATCAGCCTGACAAGGACAGTTGCAAGGAAGGGAATGTTTCAAGTCACCCTCCGGAGTAAAGGTTCAGGACCCCACGCAGATATAAAACGAGCCCAGCAGTATATGGAAAGGGTGATGTTATCGAGACCTTGCAGGGTTTGACCCAGAAACGCAGGGTTGGTTTAAGCCACAAGAACCAAGGTATTTCACGTTGAGGGCGGCAGAAAAAAATCGGACAAGCGTCATGTTAGTGGCAGGAAAGGCATCTGACGAGGTTCAGCGATATTCGTGATGGACACCCCTACCGCTGTTAGAGAAGCGAACCGGCAGGTTCCCACGACAGCCCTGCCTCACGGCAAAGCATAGAAAACCTCCCTGTTAGGACTGAGGACGCTGTGACCGCTGCTGTGGCTCACGGCATGGGCCCCTTGGTAAGGGACGGAAGGAAGCACGACGAGGAGTGTTACTGAGGTCACGGGTAGATGTGTGGTGATGCGGGAAGAGCGCCTGAGATCCCTGGTGGGTAAGTCCATCATGGCGAGTTTAGGAAGGTGAGCAGCTGCGGGAGTGTGGGTGCAAACGGGACCGTTTCTGTGTGTGAGCAGTGCATAGGCAGAGTGGGAGGTTGAAGAGAATTTATCTGCAATTTGGAAAAATAAATAAGTAACTGGAAGCTTTGCGCAGTGGCAGTATCGTAGCCAATGAGGTTTATCCGAGGCGCGATTATTGCTAATTGAAAATAAGTAACTGGAGAGAAATCCAACAAAAAAATTGTGCAGATCTTCTGCCCAGAAGGCTACCAACTGCTATTGAGGTGTTCAGATGAACTGAATACATTGCAAACCGCGTAGTGGGTTAGAAGTCTCGGTGCTGAAGGAATGTCTGCTCCCTCCTCAGCATCAGCAGGATCTTAGAATCCCAGCCGGTTGTGTGCCATGCGGTCCCCACGTGCTGAGGGTTACAGTTGCTGCGATGCTCCCTTGGTTCAGTTGGGAGGGACTCACTCCTGCTGACTTGCATTCTTACTGCAAAGTTTTAGTGATGGAGCCAGTGCAAAGCAAAAGAAAGCAGACACATACTTCCACATGGGGACACTTTTTATAGTGAGGTGGTGCTGCAGAGAAATGGGGTAAAAGCATATTTGAGATTGGGCTGCTGGTTGCCATTTGGGACGAGAACGGGCCTGAGCCTGCATCACACCTGCTCAAGGAGCAATCCCAGCAGTGTGCTGAGTGCTTACCCGCCCCAGAGCTGGGTGGAAATCTGTGCCCAGGACCTCAGCATGTGACCTCCTTTGAGGTTGGGTCTTTGTGGGTTAATCAAGTTAGGAGGACAACACTGGGGTGGCCAACCCAGTGTGATCGATGTCTTTACAAAGAGGGGAGGCTTGAAAAAAAAAAAACAACAGAGGGGAGGTTTGGACACAGTTGCTTGGAAGATGGTGTGAGGACCACCACGGGATGGAAGATTGAGTAGAGGTTGGGGGATGCAGCCCGAAGCCCGACACGTGCAGGCAGCCCCAGAGCTGGAAAGAGCCAGAAGGACCAGTCTCCCCTCCAGAGCCTCCAGAGGGGATGTGGCCCCGTGACCGCGGACGGGGGCCTTCAGGCCTCAGAATAGGGAGAACACAGTTCAGCCCTGTCCGTGGTCCCTTGTTATAGCAGCTGCAGGACACCTATATGGCAGGACGGGTGTCAAGTCCCAGCAGGAACAGGTGGCATGGCCGAAGGGGTGACTGCAGAATCACGGAAGGTGTGGGAGAGTGAGGGGAGGTCAGGGCCAGGGCCTGAGGGAGGGCCGAGCAAGAAGCAGCCATGGAACTTGCCGTGGAGCTGCAGGCAGGGCATCCAGGAGGGACGCTGCAGGGTAGGGTGTGAATGCCCCAGACTCTAGCTCCTGTCTCCCGTGGGGCCTCCCTTCCTTGGGTCTGTGGCTGCAGCTGTAGGGCTATGGTTGTGGGTGGAGAGCAGGTCTGCAGGAAGAAGAATAATGTCCCACATTGGGGGACTGTCCACCAGATGTGAAAGACAACACAGCCAAGTCTCTAAACCTGAGGAGGGCTGCAGAGCATATCCTACGGCCTCAAGGAAAGGAGCCTGCAGAGATGGAACAGAAGAGGCAGGATCCTTTAGCAAAAGTCCACCAAACTGGGTGGAAATGAAGACCCCTCATTCGTTGGAAGACAAGTGGGTGAAAAGTGCAGCCGCAGGAGGACAAAGAAACTGTTCCTATTATCAGCCAAGGGCTTCTCTCCACAACATATAAAGAACACAAATCAATGAGAAAGCAGTGACAGAGGAATGGACAAAAGACTTAAGTCACTACTCGACAAAGAGGCAATGTGACAGCCAAAACTGTGGAATGGTGCACAACCCATGGTAACCAGAGAAATGGAAATTGTCCTGAGATTATAGACACTCCTACACCCAGCACCCCAGAATGGCTGGAAATAAAACGACCGTAACTGGAATAACGAGAATGGGAATTAATACAAACGTGGATGCCCTGGGTCAGGGATGTCAGGGGGTCCAAAGGCCTCAGGAGGACAGTTACATGATCTGTCAAAGCCCCTGGACACGGCCAGAGCTCTGCTAGGTATGTCCCCACAGAGATGTGTGCCTGCAGGCCCCCCTGAAATCCAGGGGTGGGGCAGGTGTGCGTGCTGTCCCCAGGAGGGCCAGGAGCACCTGCTGCTCCCATTTCACAGCTGCCTTGGCAACCCGTGCCCCACAGAGCAGCCACTGCCTGCCAGAGGGGTCGGGCTTCCAAGACACACCCGAATTGAGGGTCTGGAAGGTTAGGATCTCGGGGTCCGTTTCAGTTTGGAAAGCATTTTGGGGGGTGTGTTCTTGTGAGACACTAGCTGCTGCCTCGAGGAGTCCTCTCTTCTTTGGGGTCTTTACCCTCCAGCTTTGGGGTGGCTGCCCAGCTCCCTTTGTGACCCGTGGTTGCCCATCTCCTTCCTGCTCCCCTGAGGTCCTGGTGGGGGCAGGCAGGCCCACTTGGCACAGGTTGAGTTTCAATATACCTGCAGCTCCAGGAACAGAGTGGGGCCCGAGCTGGGCTGCTCTATGTGGCCAAGGAGAAGTCCTTTGCCAGACCCCTGAGCTGGGATCCTCCATGCTCAGGAATTGCCATGGCCTGGCATCTGGGCACTGACCCCTCCTGGTGGGGTTACAGGGCATGCACAGCATTTCCTGAGTAGGGCTGAGTAGGGTCTCCCCAGAAGTCACATCCATCTGAAGCCTCAGAACGTGACTTTATCTGGAGTCTGCAGATTAAGGTAAGGCCTTAATGTGAAATTGCCCTGGATTGGAGTGGGCACTGAATCCAGTGACCGCTGGAGAGACCCAGGCTCAGGTATCACAGGGACGGATGAGCTAGGTGAAGATGGAGGTGGGAGTGGTTGCAACTGCAAGCTGGGGATACAGGCCCCACCAAGCCTAGGGGAGGCAAGGCACAGGTTCAGAACCTCACAAGTGTCAGTGCTGATGACCCTTGGGGTTTGGTTCTTGGGCCTCCCAATGGAGAGAGCGCATTTCTGTGGTGTCAAGCCGGGTGTGTGGTGGTGTCTGATGGGGGCCCCAGGAGGCCAACCCACCTGGCAGGAGAGTTACCTTGTACCCCATGCATTGGCTCAGTTTGCTGAGTCCTTTCCTATTTTTATAGATGCAGAAATAAGATGGGCAGGTCACTTGAGGTCCTGCTGTGATCAACGGTGACAAGTCAGGCCCCCACCACTGTCCCTGCCTTCCCCGGCCCTCCCAACCAGGCCAGCGTGTGCTTCTGGAACATGGGATCCCAGCCCCCCTCATGTTGGTGGCCCCTCGAGGAAGTCAGGGGCACCTCGCCCCTTCTCAGACCAGGGCACGGGTGCGTTCCAGACGTGGAGCTTTACCCCCAGTCGCCCCAGTCTCTGCACAAGCATCCTCATTCAGACCCTGCACCCTATGAGTGTCCCTCCCAGAAGGGCCCTTCCAGGCCAGGCCCTTGGCAGCAATTAGCATCCCTCTGGGGCCCAGGGCAGTGCCATTTGGCGCTTCAACAAAGGTTCCGGAGATGCTAATTTTCAAAAACAAAAGCTGGTATCCTGGTGGCCTCTTCCTGGAACAGACCGGTTCTGAGGCCTCTAGCCTGGGACCAGCAGGTCACACACTTGTGTTCTCTGTCCTCGTGGCAGGTGTGGGGATTTGTGTCTTCATTCTTATCCCCGGGCCCAGGTGACCTCAGCCAACCGTGGCCACTGGCCGGGCACATTGTGTCCATGTGTCCAGTTTGCATCACCCGCCTTCCAAGCTGCAGGGAGGTCACGGGCCCAGGGCGGGACTGACCGCGCGGGGCAGCTAGCAGCTGTTGAGGGCCATGGCACGGCTCTGCAGCAGCCAGAGAGCCGACCCCTGTGGTGGGGGTTGGCCAGGAGCTGGTCATGGCTGTCCCGCAGAGGGTTACTGCAGTGGCCCTGCTCTTCTGCCCCTGGGGCTCTCCAGCTTGCCATCTTTTGGGCGAGCAGAATCCAGAGACCTCAGATGCCCGTCACTCCTGCCCTGCAGTGCTGGAG